AATTAAGCATTAAAACTACTATAGTATTTTATGTCTGTAAAGCTTGAATCATTCAGACTTACTCTATATCTGAACTTTACTATCCAAACTATAAAAGCACTGTGGCGGGGAGGGGGGGAGTGCAGTGGAACAGCAGGAGAGGGGAGCAGCAAGATCCCCAGGGAATGATGAAGGTGGCATTGGGGACAGGGCATGGTACCCCAACAGACTGGACTGGAAAACACTCCTAAAGGCCAGCAATCCTTGAACTAACTACAAGCTTTTCTTTCTTGGTATATTTTAATTTGTTCTTTGTCGGTGGCTTGATGTTGTTGCTGTTTTGGTGTACATTGTTGCTTGGTTTTGCTCTGTCTTGTTTTTGTGCATGTTGTTGTCTCCGCAGGTCTGTCTGGAATAGGACAGGCTGGATGAACAATCTGGAGGAGAAAACAACGGGACTGACAGTTCCCGGGGGGACATGGGAGAGGGGGAGGTGGGGAAAAGGGAAGAGGTGTTAACAAACCCGAGGCAAGAGAACAACAAGCGATCCAAATTGGTGGGGAGGTGGGTGTGGGAGACCTGGTAGGGCATGATCAAGGGGAATGTAACAAAGAGGAAGTGCTGAAACCTTGGTGGGGACTGAGCGTGATAGTGGGACAGGTGGAGGATCAAGGGAAATAGAGGAAAGAGCTGGGAGGCAAAGGGAATTTATAGAGGTCTAGATAAAGACATGTACATATGCAAATATATTTATATGAGGATGGGGAAATAGATCTATGAGCCTATATTTATAGGTTTAGTATTAAGGTAGCAGAAGGACCTTGGGCCTCCACTCAAATACTCCCTCAACGCAAGAATACTTTCTTCTATTAAATTGGCATTCTGTGATGCTCACCTTCCCAACACAACCGCTGAAGACAAAGCGGGTGAATAAGCAAATGTGGCGAAGAAAGCTGATGGTGCCCAGCTATCAAAAAGTATAGCGACTGGGGTCCTAAAGGCTTGAAGGTAATCAAGCGGCCATCAAGCTCAGAAGCAACAAAGCCCACTTGGAAGAAGCACACCAGCCTATGCAGCCACGAGGTGTTGAAGGGATCAGGTGTAAGGCATCATCAGAACAAAAAATTTACCTTAGTGAATGATGGGGGAGTGTGGAGTGGAGACCCAAACCCATTAGTAGGCCACTGGAGATCCCCTTGCAGAGGGGTCTCGGGGAGGAGATGAGCCAGTCAGGGTGCGATGTAACAATGATGAGAAATACAACTTTCCTCTAGTTCCTAAATGTTTCCTCCCTGCTCCCACTACCATGACTCGAATTTGACTTTGCAAGTCTGGCTAGACCAGAGGATGTACACTGGTACAGATAAGAACTGAAAATCCAGGGAATCCAAGACGGATGAACCCTACAGGACCAGTGGTGTCAGTGGCGAAACAGGGAGGGTAGAGGGAGAGTGGGTAGGAAAGAGGGAACCGATTACAAGGAACTATATGTGATGTCCTCCCTGGGGGACGGACAACCGCAAAGTGGGTGAATGGAGACGTTGGACAGGGCAAGATATGACACAATACCAATTTTTAAACTATCAAGGGCTCATGAGGGAGGGGGGAGCGGGGAGGGAGGGGGAAAATGAGGACCTAATGATGGGGTTTTAAGTGGAGAGGAAATGTTTTGAGAATGATTACGGCAGTGAATGTACAAATGCGCTTTACACAATTGATGTGTGTATAGATTGTGATAAGAGTTGTATGAACCTTTAATAAAATGATTTAAAAAAAACAATAGAAAAAAAATAGACCTTTTATAGTTTAATGTTTTGAGTTACTCTTTTATTCTAAAACAGGGTTTTTAATTAATTAGTCTAGTTACTCTCTCTATTGATTTACTTATTCGGGATTTCATATATAGAAAAACAAACTAAGCAAAAACAAAAAATTAAAGACACTCCACCAAAAATGACAAAATAAAACAGAAAACTTCCGCTGAAAAGAAAGCAGAAAATATGGAACAAATTTTAAATGAGCCAAAAGGAGAATAAATGATAAGGTGCTACATATGATCTAACTGCATCTGTAATAATCCAGTTTATAATACACTCTAGTAGCTAGGCTATCATGACCATAGACATTTCTGGTCTATGGTCAGAGGAGATTCTCCAGAGGCTTAATACATGTGGGGACCCTGCAAATGAGTTTTTGGGTTTTTATGTCATAGCCTTCTATAAACCAGATATTCAGAATTTAAGCTGTAATATTGTTCCCTCTTCCAGATTTGGATTTTATTCTTTGCAATCCTTGGATCACACAGACTGGTGTGTTTCTTCTGTGTGCACTTAGCTGATGGCTTGGATGACTGCTTGTTTGAAAACAAGTCTTTTAAGATGACGCTATTCTTTCTGATAGCTGAGCACCATCTGATTTCTCCACTAGTACTTCAACCTGTGTAAAATATTGGGCTCCCTCACAGCCATTGAGTCATTGCTAACTCAGCGACACCCTGAGTTCCTGAGACTGTAACTATTGACAGGAATCGAAAGCCCAGTCTTGCTCCCATAGAGATACTGGTGATTTCGAACTACCAACACGTGAATTGCAGCCCAGTGTATAACCACTGCACCCCCAGGGCTCCTAAAATATGCGCTAGCCAGTACATTTTAAATATTACACTGTTTTATATCAATGTGTTTCTGTTGTAAATTCATTGGATTAACAAAACCATGTCTTGCAAACTTAAAATTATATATGATGTTCACAAATTCCAATTGGATTGCCTTGATCAAACAAACACACCTGTGGCTATGCTATCATAACTCTAGTCAGTGATAATTATTTAAAATTAAAAGTGGGTGTGTTAGTCAGGGTAGACTAGAGAAACAAATACATAGACGCTCATATGTGTATAAGAAAGAGCTTTACATACAAAAGCAATTGAATATTGAGAAAACATCCCAGCCCAATCCAGATCAAGTCCATAAGTCCGATATTGGCCCATATGTTGGATACCAATTTGTAAATTTCTCTTCAGACTCACGCAACACATGCAATGTCTGATGCCAAATGCAGAAAGATCACAGGCCAGTAGGTGGGACGTGTTGTGGATCCAGTGGCGTAAGCATCTCAGCGCTGGCAGGGGTTTCCACGTGGCTCCTACAGCTCCCAGGGCTCTGGCTGCATCAGGGTAGCTTCATGTGGCTTCTCATCAGAATTGTCTTCCAGGGAGTGAATGAGTGTCCCATCTCCAGCGAGTTATTTATTTCATTAACGCCTCCAAATGAGGTTATTGAGCTGCGATCTGACTGACAGGCTAAACTCCACCCCTTCACTCTTAATCCTCTCAGATTGACAACAGATTATATAACTTCCACTATGGGTTATGTAAGAACAATAAAAAGTTAAGGCTGCTGTTGTGAAAGAAAAGAAGGAACAAAGATTCTGTGCATGGTATAAGTTAGTGCGATCATTTTTCTAGGATAGTGTATTATGGGGATGGTGAGAAATTCCCTGGCTTAATGACTACTACATTTGCCTTTGAGGAAAAGCAAGAGACTATGTAATGAGATGTGCATTTTAGAAGTGCTGCCATGGATCTAGACAAGATAAGATTGGAGGAAAGAAAACTACCCAGGAAGTTATTGGTGATAGATTCTGATTACCGCAGGATGAAAAGTTGAAGAGATACTCAGAAGATAGAATTGATAGAAGTTGGTGGTTAAGCGAGGTAGAGAAGAAGACAAGGAAGATACTCAGCTCTGGGTAGATGATGGTGTTACTCACTGAAATGGAAACCGAATGTGGGGCATGCCCTCCACTACATTATCTCAGGCAGAAATAGAAGTTTAGCTGTTGTGTCCCCAACAGCTTACGGATGGAGTTTATCTTAGAAAAGTCTACTTTTTAAAAGTCTTCTGTCTGATAACTACTGAGTTTGCACCAGATTAAGAGGAAAGGGAGTTTTGTGACACCAACTCTACTCTCTTCAATAGAACACATTTTCCCCTTGCTTTTTTGTCCCATTACTTTTGGTCTATCTGTTGGGATAAACTTGTCATCTCCAACACATTGCTACATGAGATCTGGGGCATCTGGTCTGAGTACAGCTGAGTAATGTCGAGTAGGTCTGATGCTCCTGGGTTCCCTAGGTATAGATTTTGCAATCTTGAGACAATTCTCACCTGGATTTCTGTACAGCTCCATTTGTTTTTATTTGTTTGTTTTCCCCCAAAAGATCCAAAAGTACTCATTTTTATAGTGCTAGCATAATACTGACACATTTTAAAAAGAAAATAGTTATTTTAAATTTAAAATAGCTCAAGTATATTCATTCATGGCTTGTTGATCATTTACTTAATACCTTAAAAGGTGAAACCAAATACCCAGAGGAGGACTGTTGATTCTGAAATACGACTGCAAGTTTTCCCAAAACTAATCAATATGGTGTTTCTAAAACACATCCATTAGAGCAGCAGTTCTCAACCTATGGGTCACGACCCCCTTGCGGGTCGAACAACCTTTTCACAGGGGACACCTGATTCATAACAGTAGCAAAATTACAGTTATGAAGTAGCAACGAAAATAATTTTATGGTTGGGAGGTCACCACAACATGAGGAACTGTATTAAAGGGTCCGCAGCATTAGGAAGGTTGAGAACCAACCACTGCAGTAGAGTGTTTCCAGAGGTAACACAGCAGAAATACTGTCACCAAAGCAAACCAGACTCACTGTTATGGAGTCAATTCCGACTCATAGAGACCTTCTGTAGATTTCATCGATGATAAATCTTTACCGGGCTTGAAAACCTCATCTTATTTCTGTAGAGCCGCAGGTGGTTTCAAACTGCTAGCCTTGTGGTTAGCAGCCACGTGCATGGCCCACCAGGCTGCCAGGGCTCCTTAAGTACTGGCACATAGAACAGAATGAGCATTTTGTTAGGTTTATTACATTTAGTCATAACATTTTATGGTTAGTGATTTTCCTTCTTTTTAAAGATAAATAATATTCTTCTCTTTTTCCATTTTGATTTCAGATAGAAAATGCTGCTGAAGAACCTAGAGTCTTATGTATAATACAAGATACTACTAATTCAAAGACAGTGAATGAGCGGATCACTTTAAATTTACCAGCTTCTACTCCACTCAGAAAGCTCTTTGAAGATGTGGCCAACAAAGTAGGCTACATAAACGGAACCTTTGATTTGATGTGGGGCAACGGCATCAGTACTGCTGATATGGTAAAGCTTTTCTGTACTTAAGCAGCTTCCCTAAAACAACTAATAATTCTTTCTCTTGTTACTGAAATCCTGGAAGGCTTTCTGATATCATAAAAGCAAAAAGTAACTACTGTAATAAGAACCTTTGTGTAAATCTGTACTTGATATCCTCTTCCCCCTTTCTCTGCTTTTGATTAATATTTACTTATCTTAAAGTTTGTAAATTGCCAGACTGTCAGTTTTTTCATTCATGTAAAAAGTGACTATTGTGTCAATATCATATTATAATAGCAATATTATGCTATTATGTTTTTAAATATATATGAAATCATAACTAATCTATGATCTGGATTTTGAAAAAGAAGAAAGAATATATAGAGAAATTGAAAAACAGGATATATACCCCACTGTAATAGAGATTATCGCTAGGTGACTTCTGTGTGTGTATGTGTGTGTTTTCTGAGTGATGTTTTTTCCTTTATAAGAATGAACATGAGTACCTTTTGACTTTAATTCAGAACTCTATGAGCCTATATTTATAGGTTTGGTATTAAGGTAGCAGAAGGACATTGGGCCTCCACTCAAATACTCCCTCAACGCAAGAATACTTTCTTCTATTAAATTGGCATTTTATGATACCTTCCCAACACAACCGCTGAAGACAAAGTGGGTGAATAAGCAAATGTAAAGAAAGCTGATGGTGCCCTGCTATCAAAAGATATAGCGTCTGGGGTCTTCAAAGCTTGAAGGTAAACAAGTGGCCATCTAGCTCAGAAACAACAAAGCCCACATGGAACAACATATCAGCATGTGTGATCACGAGGTGTTGAACAGATCACTGAAGACAAATGGGTGCATAAGCAAATGTGGCAAAGAAAGCTGATGGTGCCCGGCTATCAAAAAGTATAGCGACTGGGGTCCTAAAGGCTTGAAGGTAATCAAGCAGCCATCAAGCTCAGAAGCAACAAAGCCCACTTGGAAGAAGCACACCAGCCTATGCAACCACGAAGTGTTGAAGGGATCAGGTATAAGGCATCATCAGAACAAAAAATCTTACCATAGTGAATGATGTGGGGAGTGCGGAGTGGAGACCCAAAGCCCATTAGTAGGCCACTGGAGATCCCCTTGCAGAGGGGTCTTGGGGAGGAGAGGAGCCAGTCAGGGTGCAATGTAACAACTATGAAAAATAGAACTCTCCTCTAGTTCCTAAATGTTTCCTCCCCGCTCCCACTATCATGGCACGAATTCTACCTTGCAAGTCTGGCTAGACCAGAGGAATTACACTGGTACAGATAGGAACCGGGAATCCAGGGAATCCAGGGCGGATGAGCCCTACAGGACCAGTGGTGTGAGTGGCGATACAGGGAGGGTAGAGGGAGAGTGGGTAGGAAATAGGGAACCGATTACAAGGAACTACATGTGACCTCTTCCCTGGGGGACGGACAACCGAAAAGTGGGTGAAGGGAGACGTCAGACAGGGCAAGATATGACAAAATACCAATTTATAAACTATCAAGGGCTCATGAGGGAGGGAAGAGCGGGGAGGGAGGGGAAAAATGAGGACCTAATGTCGGGGGTTTAAATGGAGAGAAAATGTTTTGAGAATGAAGTACAAATGCGCTTTACACAATTGATGTGTGTATGGATTGTGATAAGAGTTGTAAGAGCCCCTAATAAAATGATTAAGAAAAAAAAACAAAAACATTTTTTCAGTGGCTGTAGTCTTCCCTATGTCCACATTTTCTCCAATAGTAGTAGTGAGGATAGGTGAGAAGGGCATGGGATGTACAAAGCCTTGTCTCTTATTCACCAGCTTCAGTGGATTAGAATGGCAACTTTGAAATTGCCTTCCTAGATTAAAGAGTTAGAGATTCTTAGATGTGTAATTTTTAGGACTAATCATTTTATTGGGGTTGTCTTGGTCCTTTCAGTGGACTTGAACTCAGTATCATTTACTGTAAAGGTTTTTCCATAAGAGGGCCTTCTGAAGGTGTCTTTTTTGTTATATTACTTACTTGAGTTTTGTGTTGTTCAATGTATTATTTGGTAATTCCAAATAAGTTACATAGATCTAAGTCCACTTTAAGAGTTTCATGGGAATCATTATTTTTTAAAATACTATTTTAAAAATACTATACAAATATGTCTATTTAGACTTGCCTTTTCTATTATTATTCCTCATAACCTAGTATATTTTGTTTTATACCCACAGCCGCCATTGGATCACACCAGTGAGAAGTCTCTTCTTGATGCTAGTTTTGAGGCAGGAAAGAAGAACTTTCTGCACTTGACAGATAAAGATGGTGAACAACCTCAAATACTGTTGGTAAGCTATTTAGAAAGTCGTGTATTTATCATTTTTGTGCATGCTCACCTACTATTTGAGAATGCAGTTTTCCAAAAGAAGAAGGAGAAATGTGGTTTGTAATACAGACATTACAAAATGTAATAAAATGCTATTTTTCTCTCTTATTTTGGTTTATTAACTGTGTGTCATAATACACTTAAGTGGGTTTACCACAGCATCATTTTGGTATATATTCTGGTGCTGATTTTTGCTTATCCTACATTCAGAACTTGCATTATAAAGCAGGTCATGTGCCCAAAGAAACTCTTACTAACTGTATTCAGAATATGAGATTTCGCATTAGATTTCCTTAATTCTACTGTACTGCTTTCCACAAGATAAGATGAAGCAGCAAATTTTGATAAATCTTGGTTATAGTCATTGAATTAGCACTCATCAGAGGTGAAAGTAGTTACTGTGCTGTGTGAAACCTTATTAATTCTTAATCACGTTACATTCAGATAAAAAGTTTATTGAATTCTTGTTTTGTACAATCCACATTATTAGTGCCTTGGGCTTCTAAATGATACATAATATGGCTTCAGACCTAAAAAGGTTTTATGATGTTTGGGTGATGGTACAAACCTATGGAAATAGTTTATAAGTTATTTCTCAAATAATGTAAATGAAAATAAATAATTTAAAGTTTATTTTAAAAAAACAACCAAATCAGTTGTCACTGAGTTAATTGTGACTCATGACAATGCCACATGTCTTACAGTTGAACTGTACTCCCTAGGATTTTTCAATAACTAATTTTTTTTCGGAGGTGAATCACCATGCCTTTTTCTCAAGGTACTGTTAGGTGGACTCCAACTTCAACCCTTTCACTAACAACCAAGTATATTCCCACTTTGCACCACTGTGTGATTCCAGGCATACGTAAAGTACCACATTAATAAAGCCACCAAGCCAAACCCATAGGTGTTGAGTTGATTCTGGTTCATAGTGACCATGTAGGACAATAGAACTACCTCATAGGTTTATCAAGGCCATTGATGGTCATGGCAGCACATGGTCACATCTTTCTCCTGTGCAGAAAATGGGTTCACACTGCTGACTGTTTCATTGGCAGCCAAGCACTTAAATATAGAGCCACCAGGACTCCTTCCATACATACATTTCTGGAGGGATTCAAATGTGGAGATCTCTGGTGGATACAGAATCAAGGAAGAAGCTTCTAAAGAAGTTTTAGCTGAGCCTTGAAAAATGGGCTGAACTTAAATAAAATGGAAAGTTAATTAACCAATAGAGAATAGCAACCAAAATGAAGAGGAAAAGAAAGCACAGTGTGTTATGATACTCAGAGTGGATTAAAATAAGAGACCTTGGATAAAAGGAATTACAAGTAAATATTGTTAATAAGCTCTAGGATGATAATGCTGGAAACTGGAAGTAGCAGTTACACAGTGGATTCATTTTTAGGGAAGTTCATTTTCAATACTATGAGTTAGAAGTGATGAGACAATCAAGTGAAACTATAGACAGCTGCTCCTGGACTAGAGGGCAGGATTGGAGACCCAGTGGTCCTACAAAAGTAGTGCTTTAAGTCAAAAAGATGAGAGCTGTTCCAGATAAAGTAGGGAGGGGCGGGGACTAAACAATACGGACTGATTCTTAAGACACATTTGTATTTATTTCTTGGAAAGAGGAAGGAGGTGCTGAATATGAAAAGCAGGGTAGGGGGACAGGAAGGAAACAAGACTACCAGATCTGGCCATCCTGAAGAAAGCTACTGAAAAGTAATGAAGGTTTTGGAAATCTAGAACAGTGCATGGTAAAGAAATGGTGTTGTCGTGCATATGCCATCTTTCAATTTTAAGTATTTAATTTTAATTAGTAACACAGTTTGCATATTATAAAATATCCTTTTAAAGTACATAATTTAGTGTTTAGTATATTCAAAAATCTGCATCCATCACCACCATCTAACTGCAGAACCACACACAGAAAGCTAGTACCCATTAGCAGTCATTCTCTATTCCCCGCTCCTCCTTACCAGTGTCAAACTCTAATCTAGGCTAGGTCTCTGTGAATTTTTATATTGTGGTTGTTTGATATATTTGGGATCATGCAGTATGTAACCTTTGGTGTATGACTTCTGTCTCATAGAATCATGTGTTCAAAGTTTATCCACCTTATTTGTATGTGTTAGTCTGGGTACTTTAGAGAAACAAATCCACAGATATTCATGTATAAGAGAGTTTTATATAAAGGTTAAGTACACATCAAGAAAACATCCCAACCCAGTGCTGCCTAAACTCACAAGTCCAACATTAACCCATATGTCTGACACCAATCCACAAAGTCCTCCTCCATCTCACAAAACACGCACCAAGATGCTGACTGCAGGAGGAAAGCCGAATCAACGTGTAAGCATTTCAGTGCTGGCAGGGGTCTCCACACATCTGCTCCAGCACCCAGGGCTGCATTGGAGTAGGTCCATTGGGTTTCTCCTTGGGGGTGTCTTGCAGGAAGTGAGCCTTGCCAGCTAAAGCAGGGAACTGGCTAAGGCAGCTGCACCCTGGTCCGACCATCACAAAGCAAGAGAACAGAGAACTAGAAAGGCAAGGCTCACTGAGCCATGTATCTCTGCCCTTCAATTAACCCCACATGTGTTTATCGGCCAGGTTAGCACAATAAACTTTATATCATTGTACAATGCATCAATCAGTGTTTCATTCCTTTTTTGGGCTGATAAGATCTTTTATATATTTCAGCCACGTTTTCTTTGTCCATTTATTGGTTGATCACCATTTAAGTAGTTTATATTTATTGGCTATTATGAGTAATGTGGTTATGAACATTTCTATACAGATACTCGTTTGATTGCCTGTTAGTTCTTTTAGGTATATACCAAGGAATGGATTGACTGTGTTCTAACTTTTTGAAGAAAAAGATCCTGTGTATATCTTTTTGAAGAACCATAGCATTTTTACTGGTGACACTCATTCCCATTTCATAGGTTTTCCAGTCTAGTACAGTCCAGTAGTCTTAGAGATCATCTGAACTAGTTTAAGCTTCCATATTGACGGGCGTTTCTTTAGCGAATTTTAACTTTTGAAGGGTGGACATCATGTACAAGCTTTTAAAAGTCCATTCAAAATATATTTATCTTTTTAATAAAACTGTAGAATGCAAAACTCAGTTGACTCTTATCTGATGATTACAAATAAAGCATAAAAACATACTATAATGACAGACTTGGTCTGATGTGCCTCAGGGTTTGCAGGTTAAGACTTAGAGACTATGAACCTTTTCAAAATTGTTCTCCACAGGGCAAGATTCCTCAGTTAAAATTATTCTAGTGATAATTATTTTAAAAGTCTATGACAAATAAGAATGCCCATTGGAGCAGTAGACATTAATTAAACACTGCTTCTATGCTGAAGGAATACCAGATATGTTCTCCGGCCTTCTTTAATCTCATTTACTTTTATGATATCAGAAGATTTTGAATAAATTTGTGACATTGAAATGTTGATTAGCTGTTAATTTATAAAACTCTGAATTCACATATTAGAGGTTTATGCATTTGAATGCATTGTGATTACTTTCCATTTTTGTCTTATTTTCTTTTAGGTCTCTTGAATCCTTTTCCCCACTACCTAGCTCTCAGATTGTCCTCCCAGGGTAACTTGTGGGTTGCTATGATGTTGGAAACTCTGCCATCAGTATTTCAAATCCCAGTAGGGTCACCCATGCTAGATGGGTTTTATCAGGGTTTCCACAATAAACCTATCTAGCCGATGACAACTGTATGTATCATAGCCGAATGCTGTCCAAAGTAATACTGGAAGACGAGCCTCTAGTTTAGAGGGACTCAAGGTACACAGTGGCCAGCAATACTGAGGAAGATGGCTCAAGACTGTTGTGTTTCTGATCTGTGTAGGATTGTCATGCATTGGAACCAGCTCAGCAGCAGCTTGAGTCTTTTTTACTTGTTTCTCATGAACAGGAAGTTTCTTGGTTGGAAACAGGAAACCTACCCCACTTTTCTAACAATGAACAAATATCCCCTCCTGTCAGGCCTACCTGTCTTGAATGATGTGAATACACAGAGTAGACTCTTGTCATCAAGTAGTTCACAGGGAAACTTCTGATTTATCTCTACCAAAAGTCTTTCTCATGTAAAGAGAAAATTTGAAAGTGTGTTAGGGTAGACTAGAGAAGCTAATCCAGAGACACTCATATATATGTAAGAGAGCTTTATATGAAAGAGAAACAATATATTAAGAAATCAGCCCAGCCCAGTCTAGATCAAGTCCATAAGTCCAAAATTAGCCCATATGTCCGATACCAGTCTGTAAATTCCTCTTCAGACTCATGCAACATGCAATGATGCTGAGTGCAGGAAGATCACAGGCCAGTGGGTGGAAACTTGTGGTTCCAGTGGCGGTGGAAGTATCTTAGCACTGGTGTTGGTCTTCGCATGGCTCCTCCAACTCTAAGGCTCTGTCTGCCATCAGCATAGCTCCATCTGGCTTGTCAACAAGAATATGAAGCAAAGAGAGAGTGTGTGTCCCGCCTCCAGGGAGGAAGACGGGAGTTTGCTAAATCTTCAGGAGAAGCCCATGCCCACAGGCCTCATTGGCTATGACCTGATTGACAGGTTAGACTCCAGCCCTTCACAAGTTGATAGATTATATAACTGCCACAGGAAGAGAATTGACAAAGTAAAATGTTTAGAAGGAGACACCAACATGTTTCAAACCTTCCTATGGGAGATGTAAGAGAATACAGCCCTTGGAGTGCAGTGGTGGTAACAGTAATCCTGGTTATGCTGTGTTTTAGGAGGATTCCAGTGCCGTGGATGACAATGTTCATGACCGGTTTATAGGTCCTCTTCCAAGAGAAGGTTCTGTGTGCTCTGCCAGCGATTATATTAGCCAAAGCTACTCCTATTCATCTATTTTGAATAAATCAGAAACTGGTAAGGTATAGTGTTATTGTTTATAGTTCATGTAAGCTTCAACTTCTTTACTTTCATCCCTTCTCTCCATCCCCGAATAATCTTCGCACTGTATAATAGCATGCTGGCTCAATAGAATTTCAGACTTAATGCCTTAAGATAGTCTCTCCTTTGGGAAATTTGCATATAATGAATGTGTCTTCATGTGTTGTTAATTCTTAATAGAAAGTGGTTGATAAGGCCTAATAACGGCTGACTGACTCAGTACAATCCTCCTACTTTGGGAGTATAGTATATATTAATGAATTTGTTTATACATTTATATTTTAATACACAAATTTTAGATGTGGAGAACAAATAATTCATTTTATACTAGGGAAACGAATTATTTTAGCCATATAAAATTTATGTGCATTTCTGTATGTCTGTATACCCTGTATCCTTCTTGACTTCAAGAGATAAAATGTCTGAGAAACAGGGTCTATATAGTACACATAATGAGAACAGAAAGTTAGCTTTATGTAGGGCTAAAGTGAAATGCGTGCTGAGTAAACTTAAACAATCATTATTATGTAGTAAATTCTTATATTCTTATTTGCTTATTTTTACTCTCACCACTGATTTATGTATATTTGTGTTTTCTTTTTAAAGGATATGTTGGCTTAGTAAATCAAGCAATGACTTGCTATTTGAATAGCCTTTTGCAAACACTATTTATGACTCCTGAATTTAGGAATGCATTATATAAGTGAGTATTCAAAACAGTTCTATAAATAAAATTAGTTTGAGTGAAAGATACTTTTTGAAACAATATAACGACTTGCCTTCTTTGTATATATTTGTGATGTGTGGGACATTTTTCCTCAGACATACTTTCAATTGTGTATCTTATAAGAAACCCGCATTTGAAATTTTTTTTTTTTGAAATTTTTATGGAAAGGGGAAATCAGACATAACCAGCAAAAGGGAAAAGCCGTATATACTCGTGTATAAGCCAAGTTTTTCAGCACATTTTTAATGTAGTTTTTGTGGTAAAATTGGGTGCATCGGCTGGTATTTGAGTCAGCTTATACTCGAGCATATACGGTAATGAGATGTATAATTAGAGTTATTATTATTTTAAGTATCCCTAACTTGTAGCTTTTGTAAACTTTGTTTTTACTGAAAATATAATACAACTTATTTTAGGTGTGTATGTGTGTTTCTTAAAGTACTATGTATGTATCTGATACCATTAAATGCATTCTAGAGGAAATCTATAAACAAGCCTAAGGTCAGCGTTTTATTTTATGAGTATCTTATTATACATTTACTACCATTTTGCTTTTAGTATATTTTCTTTAAAATATATAACTCCATTATATTTTCTAAATCATTTTATTGGGGGATTGTACAAGACTTATCATAATCCATACATACATCAGTTGTGTAAATCACATTTGTGCATTCATTGCCCTCATCATTCTCAAAACATTTGCTCTCCACTTAAGCCCCTGGCATCAGCTCTCATTTTCCCCCCTCCGTCCCCGCTCCCCCCTCCCTCATGAATCCTTGACAATTTATAAATTATTATTTTGTCATATCTTGCCCTGTCTGACATCTCCCTTCACCCACGTTTCTGTTTTCCTTCCCCTAGGGAGGAGGTTATATGTAGATCCATCTAATCAGTTCCCCCTTTCCACCCCACCCTCCCTCCACCCTTCCGGTTGCACCACTCTCCCCACTGGTCCTGAAGGGATCATGCGTCCTGGGTTCCCTGTGTTTCTAGTTCCTATCTATACCTGTGTACATCCTCTGATCTAGCCAGATTTGTAAGATAGAATTAGGATCATGATAGTTGGGGGGGTTGGGGGGACGAATTTAGGAACTAGAGGAAAGTTGTATGTTTCATCGTTCTTGTGCCCTAACTGGTTTATCTCCTCCCCATGACCCTTCTGTAAGGGGATGTCCAATAGTTTACAGATGGGCTTTGGGTCTCCACTCCACACTCCCCCTCATTCACAATGATAGGAGTTTTTGTTCTGATGATACCTGAAACCTGATCCCTTCGACACCTCGTGATCGCACAGGCTGGTGTTCTTCTTCCATGTGGACTTTGTTGCTTGTGAGCTAGATGGTCGCTTATTTACCTTCAAGCCTTTAAGACCCCAGA